ATCCTTCCCATTAATATTAGTTTTATAACAACGGAAATGTACTAATATCAGACTTTTGCGTGACACCTGTTTAAGTTAGAACTGAAAGAAGAATCAACCCTGTCTCTTGAGTACATGTGGCATTTAACCACAGAAAATTTTGGGGGTATCATTTGTCAGTGAACGGAAAATTTTGGGGGTATCATTTGTCAAATGTGTACAACAGTGAACGGTGTGTGGGGAAATGAGGCAACCTTTGGCAACTACTGATGTGGAAATAATTGTGCGTATAACTAAGATGTGATCTTGTTTGTCTTGCATCTTGCTCAGATTGGATTGAGGAAAAAGGACACGCTGTCTTTAATGCATAAGCAGAACAGGAAGCTCCCTTAAAGATGTCATTCATAGCGGTATCGAATATCACTTAAGCTTAAGCACACATCATTTTGATTAAGCCAGAGGGATTTGGTGTATTAGCTCACATTGCTTTGTAGTTCTAGAGAAAATATATGTGATGTCTAAGCTAGCAATGTGATGGCAGGATCCAATTCTTCTTTTCTGATAATAGAAAAGCTACAGATTATCCTTATTGGAATTCCTTAAACCTGGCTAAATCCTTTAAGACAGATCTTAAAATATTTTATTTTTAAAAGCAAAGTTTATCCACAGTTGGTAAAAAAGGATTTGTATGAAAATGTTCATACAAGTTTAATCAGAGCTATCACTGCTATTTCGTGCACATCACAATCGGTTACAGTTCTGTAACGCTGCCAGTGCAGAACGTCAGAAAGCTACCATCTGTAAATATATACAAAATCACTAATACTCAACCACTGGCTTTTCCAGTGCTGTAATTAATTACGTGAGATTTGCTCAAAACTTCAAGGACACCAACTACAACGACACACTCATAGTAACCATCACCTTGGAAAGTCCCGTACAGAGTACATTCTAAGTAACACTGGGTGTTGTCCATAGGTTGGGAGATGCTTCACCATGGATAAAGCCATTCAGCATCCCCGTGTGAGTCTGTCTAATCAAACTATCACTAACATTAGCTATTCTCAGTTTTTGAACTTTGATACATGCCAACCTTCCTTTCCCGCGGAACTCTTGCTTATTACAGCTTACACATTAGTGACAATAGTGGGGCTTTTTGGAAATCTTTGCCTGATTATTATAATAAAGAGACGGAAAGAAGCTCAAAATGTTACCAACATTTTGATTGCCAACCTCTCCCTATCAGATGTCTTGATCTGTATCATGTGTATTCCTGTCACGGTTGCATATACCTTAATGGACTACTGGATATTTGGGGAAGCTATGTGTAAAATAAGCTCTTTCATACAAAGTATATCTGTCACAGTCTCCATTTTCTCGCTTGTACTGATCGCTATTGAGAGATATCAGTTAATTGTGAACCCACGTGGCTGGAAGCCTAGTATTTCACATGCTTACTGGGGAATTCTTTTCATCTGGGGTTTCTCCCTCATAATATCCATTCCTTTTTTAATATTTCACCAATTAACAGATGAACCCTTCAAACATCTGTCTTTCCATAGTGATTTCTACAAGAACAAGGTTGCTTGCATCGAAGCATGGCCATCCGTTACGGAACGACTGATTTTTACTACTAGCCTGCTGCTTTTCCAGTACTGCTTCCCCCTGGGGTTTATTTTTATCTGCTATCTCAGGATATTTGTATGTCTTCGAAGGCGGCAGGGTAAGATAGACAGGATGAGGGAGAATGAGAGCAGACTGAGTGAAAACAAAAGGATTAATGTGATGTTGATCTCAATTGTTGGGACTTTCGCAGCTTGCTGGTTGCCTCTCAATATATTCAATGTTGTTTTTGACTGGAATTATGAGGCACTAATGAGCTGTAATCACAACCTAGCATTTACAATATGCCACCTGGTGGCCATGATGTCAACATGTATCAACCCCATCTTTTATGGATTTCTCAACAAGAATTTTCAGAAGGATTTGATAGAATTAGTTCACCACTGCAGGTGCTCAGCGTCACAAGAGGAATATGAAAATATTGCCCTTTCAAATCCGCAAACTGATGCATCTAAGGGATCTCTGAAATTAAAAAATCCCCCTGTGGATATCTAAAATAACCCAGTAGCAGTTTGCAAAGCTTTGTATTTTGTTACAGACGACCCCTTTCTGTAGGTCTTGATCATGTTACTGATGAGTTTAGAGGAGTCTTTGCCATTTAGTTAAGGAAGAACGGGATTATGGTCCCATAGGCATACTCTTAACAGGTACCTTATGATGCTATTAATGCTAATAAACCACTTCCAAGGGTCCTAAAGGTCGATAATAATGAATTATAAACAGTATTAACGTCTTACCTTTTAAATCCACAATTTCCAAGTCACTGGCATACTACCTTAGCAATAAAAATAGCTCCATTTTGGCCACTGCTGCGGTTGTCCTTCCTGAGCACCTGGCTTCAGCCAAATAAACCGTGAATACCATGGCTTTCCTAACTTCATCGGCCTTTCCACAGACTGTTTTCTGGCTTTTTAATATTCCAACCCTACATCAGTGCCACCTCAGCTTTCTGGTTAATCTGCACAACAGCTTACAGGCAGTTCACACTGTAAATTATCCTAAGTGACCACCTCCTTTCAGCCCCAAAATGCAGTTTGCTTTGGTTTAGTACCAGTGCAGCTAGAATTTGTATTTTAACAAGAGAAAAAGCTGGAGTTGGAATGCCTTTTTTTGTTGTTTTTAATGAGCACTAAGATACAGGGCTTGTTTGATTATCTGCAAATTCTACTCAGATGGCTGCTGTTCAGGATGGAATATGTATTTAGCATTTCTCCTAAAAGCATTGCATTCTACTCCAAACCACCAGTGTAGCTCATTGCTATCTCTGTTACCATCATCACTGGTCCTTAAAACAGACCTTTCAGAATCCCCATTATCAAACAAGCACACTATGAATTCAAAGTAAATTTTGCTTTAGCTACTTATCCAGATTACAGGTTTCTCTTTGAGTAGAAAATTACTCTTGTGGTTTCATTTCAGAATGTCTTTCTCCACATTTCTGCACTAGCAAGAGGCCACACTTGAGGCAGACGTAGTAATTTCTGCTGGACTATATTTGGAAATAGTTTCTTCTGTAACACAGTGCATAGAAACACAAAAGTTTAATACTGAACACAACTTCCCTCAAACTAAAACACATTAAAAAGAATTTTCCAATTTGGTCATAAAAAATAACCAGCCACGTTCTTCATCCATGCTACAGTGCCAACATAAATAAGCAGTTAAAATTGGGCTGTTTAAATATAATGCTTTGAACACTTTAGTCCAACAACTCGCCACCTTAGAAATAAGAGAAAGCGAGGGACGCTGACGGATGATCTCCCTTTTCTATCCGTCCTTGCAAGTGCTTGGGCACTGTGTTTCTGTGGCATTGAACAGTTAAAAAAAAAAGGTTTTCTCTTGCTTTTTGAAATGCCAATTTTCTCCTGATGCCCTGATCAGGGTTAAGCAATCAATTCTTCCAGTCTGCATCTTGGCATAAGAGGGTTCCTCGTTACCAGGTGGAAGCTCTCTGAGCAGTGAGACTGCTTCAGAACCAAATGGGAGTAATAATACTTGTGCCTCGATTTCTTCTTGGCATTTCTTCCTCACACTTTCATTTGATTCAAGTACTGATGCTCCATTTCTGCTCTGAGCATTCGGTTATCAAGTATCTCTTTTCTTAATGCTGCACTTTTAAAAATCACTGCTAACCGAACAGTCTCATCACTGTCTTGCAGACGTCGCCCTCCATGCTGCATGTTCTCTCATTACACCCACTGGCTTTCGAGGCAGTCTGATACCTAATTTCCAGACAAGTCAATAGGAATGAATTGATTTTGGTAGGAACAGACAAAAGAAGTTACTTATTTTTAATACAGAAACATCACGGACTCCGATGTGGTGTGTGAAGGTGATGTAGGTACCTGTGCAATATGCAATATTTAAATATCGCTCCAGTCAGAATATTAATCTGGTAAATGTTGCCCTGTGTTAGTTAATGCTGGTAACTTTATTTTCCCTTATCGTATTACTATAGCAAGCGGACAAAATTTACAGCCTTGCTCACCAGACTGTTGTTACTTGATGCAACCAGCTGGAGGACCGTGAACTGTCTCTGGGGAGCTGAAACATGGAATTACTTATGGAAAGCTAGAGGGGGAACCTGAACTCCAGAATGCTATCCAAATGTACAGTCTTAGAAATTATGTTTTTTAAAAAACCTCCATCAGAGCTATGTTCAAGTGGTTCGGTCATTTAGACCAAACCAATATATTTATAAGCATCCTGTAAATGAATATATCCTTACATGTATTTGTATTTTAAGGTTGATTGGTTTAATTGTAAGCACAGATAACTAGACTTAGACACCTGGAAAATGGCATTCATTGGGAAAATGGTTCCATTGAACAGAGAGCTCAGCTGGTTACTGACTGTGGTTATGTACGTGTACAAAAGCACTGACATTGCTGTGTGTTATTTAAATACTTTGATTCCTCCTGTCTCATGACAAATAAATATTACCCTGTATAAAACTGCTACATGACTCAGCAGGTGAATTTTACTGCCTACAATCTTCATAGGGCAGTTCTCATACAAACAGTTCTGGAAACTGGTTTAACATCTCACATGTTCACTTATTAGATAAACAGAAATCAGAAAAATAAATTAGATACTTGCTGTTTCCAGAAAAGAACAAGAACTTAAAAGATAAATTCAATAAATTAGGATTTGGTTTTCAGAAGAAAAATTCTTTACATTCACAGACTCAACCTTTTCTTTTTTATTTAATCTCATCTCCCACTTTCCCCAGGCCTGTGACAGTAGCAAGTTATTAGGTATATATTGAGTTTGCTTCATCTTATTAACACTTGTTTTTCTTCTGTATTGTCCTGAATAGTAGTCTGAGAGGAGAGGAAATCTATAGTAGAGCTTTGAGTAACCTCATGACAAAGGGTCAGATGGACTGCGGATCTACGTAGTGGAACCTCACAGACTCCATAAACACACAACCCGTCCTTTCAATTCTGTACTAACGCGACACTTAAAAATGTTCCACAATCACAGCCTTAGAATTATCTTGTCTGCTATCTGCCATTTTTAAACAAGGTTCCTTTGGCACACAGACTGGTTTCCATGCAAATGCACTGACTGATGGCTTTTATTTCATTTCACTGGCTTCTCTATTACTCATGGCCGACTCACATGAAGTGATGGAATCGATACTTGTGTGGAGCCATTCTCTGTGCAGAATTCAATTCACCCTTATACCTAGTGAGGAAAACTTGTTAATGCATCACAGAATCACTAAGGTTGGAAAAGACCTCTAAGATCATCTTGTCCAACCATCAACACCACCATACCCACTAGACCATGTCCTCAAGTGAATTCCTGTAGAAGATAGGGCTGGAACAGCTACGTGAATTAGTGCTTCCAGCCAAGAATGGCTACTAGAGTAAGAAGCAGCTCTCCAAGTTTGGGGTCCCTCTGAAGAAAAATGCTTACGCCCCCCTGCCAGCTCCATTTTGAGGTTGGAGACTTCTGCAGTACAGGCTTCCATGAAGCCAGACCCACAGTGTCAGAGGTGGCTCGGAGAGGCATGGATTTTCCAGGCACAGGCATCTGTAGGGACTGCTGCACAGCCTCCACCTCCACAAACTCCCAGGCCACGGTTACATTTCCCCAGCACAACCAAATCACTCACTCTCATCCTCAATACAGGCCAACAGATCTGGCTATTAACAAGCAACAAAATGACTACTTTTGGGATTAAAATCATTTGGATGGTATAGTTATGTCAGATGATCCCATGCTTTAATTTATACCTGGATCCTATGCTTTAATTTCTACCGGGAAACCATCCCCACCCCCCCAGGATTTGCCTTCAAGCTGTAGTCTGATCATATTCCCGTATTTCCTCAAGTAGTTGGTCAATGGAAGCCACTTAATCCACACTGGACTTTTGGGGTTTAGGTGTTTGTGGGTTTTTTGTTTTACAAATTAATGCAAACACTTCTTTCTTACACACAAGAAGTAAATCTAAGCAAGAATAAAATTCAAGAAGTTTTGTGTGGATCGAAACAAGGAAGGAGATCCCAGAAGAGTCCTTGTACTCTCTTTTGTCCAGAGCCAATTGTCCCACTCTTCCAGAAGTTTCCTCAACAATATTATCCAGCTGCCATCCCCTCCCCTTTTAAGTAACTCTGCAGGAACTTAACAGCAACTACTGCCTCGTGGTCCTTACTCATTCCCATTGCTTCTTGGATGGATTCCACTGCTAAAGGAGCTCTCTTCAGCTGCAGAAATGATGCCAAACAGCCTGGATTTGGGGGAAGGAGCTTCACTCTTGAGTGGCAGGGAAGGAGCTGAGCTTAACGGAGTAGGACGGACCTGAGATGAGCACTCACAGGAGCTCAGACCCTGGAAGAGAATCAGGAAGATTCTGCAAGAAAATGGAGATACAGTTTACAAGCCTCAAAGCAGATTGCAACAGCATGAAAATACACATACGTGTTTAACTCCATACACGGTGGGCGCTATCTGGGCTTTCAGAGGAAAAATTCCATTTGAGCACCATATCTTCATAGGATGTTTTTACGAAGGTGAAAAGGCACAAGAACCATTTCATATTTAACTGCACATGAGGGAAATCTGCACACACGCAGCAGCCGTGCCTGGAGAGGCAAGAAATACAAGTCCTTGCAGGAACATAAGGCTGTCGGGTGCGTAACACGTCAGCAAGGAACCCCAAAAGCCTCCAAGACTTACTTGGGGCTTACAGCAAAGAGCACGAAGGAGCCAGAGACCATGGGCTGCTCTGAGAACACGGCCAACCTTTACGTGGCTCCTTTACGTCCTGACTGGGTAGTTGTAAATTTATGCGATTTCGAGGAGCTCCAAAGTGAAGGTCAAGAGGGACCTCACCACACCCACAGCACAAACCTTCGGGAGGATAATTAGTCAGTAAATAATCTCTTTTAAGGTATCCAGGCGCCATATTCCATTATTTGTAAAGAACAGCTTTATCAGTCAACCTAGCAAGGCTGCCAGCATGGCACAGTACCCTGTCCCGCACA